AATATGAAGTAATTGATGCACAAAAGATTAGGATCTTTCTTGCAAGGATCAACTGTGTGAACACTTAACTTCATGTACTCTCACCTGTTGATGTCAATAGTTGAAAAGTCATAATTGTCCTTGTGCCATGGCATCCAAATGTCCAGAATGTAATTCAACATTTTGTAGTTGTACCTACATCTTTGTAGTTGCGTCAGTCCCCTTCCATCAGTCGCTTCATGCCAGTTTRCAATAACTCTGACATACTCTGCCTCATTGACATGGCCATTTACCTCTAGGGACTTAACAACAGCACAGGATAGGAACCGCTCGGCATCTTTGAGGCTTTGCTTTCTTTTGCCCACCAAGGCTGCATGTGTAAGCCCAYTGTTGGAGTCTTTCAGGACTTTATCAAATGCCTCGTAGTTGAGCATTTCACATTTACACCCCCGTGTGCTGGTCGCAATCCGTTTGAGTATATGGTTATGGTCACCTCTGTCATGMCTCAGCATACCTGTGATGGGGTCTACCTCTGGGTTGTACAGGTAGAGGGAAAAATCAGCACCTTCTTGTTTTAGCTCCTCTATAGTATGCCTGTAGATGTATGTGGCAACAATTGATCTCAGCTTGTCTAGCAGGGTTTCTGGGTTGTTGCGCCTAAAAGTATATGGCTGATAACCATCTGGAACAAGTTTTCCACGGACATAGGTAATGACATCAAGCAGGCTCATCGGTATGCATAACAAGTTGTAAATTTGCAGCATCAGCTCAGGTTTAATGGCTGGATGTGGTCTTCGTGATACTGGGTCACCATTGGGTAGAACTGGAAAAGCAAATAAATGATTTTAGACTTTTTTTAGAGCTAAAACCATCCAATTTTGATAAAGTGACGTCAAGCATGACAAATTTTCCTTCAGAATATGCAAATCACCCACTTCACATATTCAACAACCGCATACTAATGGAAACGGTGGTACTGCGTGAGCCATCCAACAAATAGGGCATCCACTGACCCACAAGTTACATTTTTACACTAATATCACTAATATCATTATCGCCATCGTCCGATTCATTAGTGTCCATAGCATTCCCGCTCAGGGCTCCAAAACGGTTGTTAGTCACAATAGGGTTGTCCGGCCGGCGCTTAAACACAGCCCCGGCCACANTTTTGAGCTTGTGACAAGTTTCAAAAGGGTTCAATATTATTAATGAATTAATAAACTGCACTGTTTGCATCCAGCATAATTTTGTATAGATATTTTAATATTACAAAATATAATGAGAAAAGTTAATATAACCATAATATGTAAATTCATATTTCAGAGGAAGTGCTCAGAAGCTTACTCCTGAAGTTTGGGCCAATGTACCAATATCACAGGTGAAACACCTTCCCTACGACATAGATGGTCTAAAAGTGTACCAACTTGAATATGACAAAGAAGATAAATTGGCGTCAACAGTAGATGGTAGGACATGGTGTAATTACACAACATCACGTCGCTCTGGTTTCAATGGTAAAAGAATACTAAAAACATGCAAAGGGTCCTATCGTTGTGRCAATGAACATTGTTCATATAGAAGGCAGTTTAAGGAAGCTAATCGAGTTCAATTCCAGAAGAAAAATTTTGAAACTACTTGTAGTARWTGTGGTGCACTAGCCGATTTTATTCCTTGTAACACCAAAAAAATATGGGAGTTCCCTGAGGGAGATGACAACAWAGTCACAGTTTACCATTATGGCTTTCACACCTGTGTTGCTGTCAAGCCAACAAGCTCTACTTCCACAGTACACACTGCATTCAACAAGGCAAACTGTGCAAAACCAGGAAGAATGGTCAATAACCAAATAATTGATGCAATTGAAAATGAARAGTCCCTWKAAGACATAGAAAACTTGACAGACAGTTTTTTAGATAAAAAGTCACTRCAACGAATGAARCTTGCAGCATCACAAAGACTAGATCCAGTTGGACACAGCTACGATGCTGTAATGCACTACAAAGCAAAGGTAGAGAAAGTCCTAAAAGACTTATATTTAATCTACAAGGTAGACTGTGAGAAAAAAATTGTTTTCAAGACCAGCAAGGAACAGCTTCAGCTGGCTTTACAAATGGATAGAGAAGGTCAGGGCCATCTCAAGACTGAGGCATGTCATGTGGATGGAAAACATAATCGGGTCACAGGTTATATCACCATTTCCTTAGTTGTATATGATGCAAATTTGAGGGAGCTGGCAAAAATTGCAACAATGGAGTGTCCCTCAGAGAGCAAGGACAGCATTGGAATGTTCTGGGCGTGCCTTAACAGTGCATTGCGTGACCTAACTAATGACAACAACTGCCAATTCAGACCTCACCTGTATATCTTTGATGAGGGAGGGGGTTTCTGGGCCTCGCTTAAAGATCAACTTGGTCCAGATGAACTGTGTAGAGCCGTGAGCTGTGAACTTCACTGGGGATTTACAGTGAATAGAAATGCCAAAAAGCTCATAGGAGACGATCTCCAAGATGAATACCGCTTTTTGTGCAGCGCGGTGTTGAAATCGACCACTATCAATATGTATAACAAGGCAAAAGTCAACCTGGAAAATTTCATTGACAAGCACCAATTCCTGCGCAACTGGTGGGAATGGTGGGAGAAACGTCGCTCTCATGTCTTCAGAGCATTTAAGCCAGCCCTTAATGTTCCAAAGACTAATTTGACAGAGGTGCATCATGCTAGATGGCATAATATTGGTGCCGAAAACTTAACTCTTGTCCAAGCATGCAGGGAGGATGTAGCGGAAAGCTTGAAGTTAAAGAGAAAAATGGAAGGTAATAATACATGATAACTTTTCTCTTGTTATAAATGATTGATAAAAGTTACTTTATTGTTAGCAGTGCTACATATTGTGATGTTACTTATCATTAGTACTGTAAAGGAAAATTTAGAATGCCCTATCCACTTGCAGTTGTACAAAACCTTTTCAATCATTTATGACTAAGACAGTTCAATTCCACCCACTTGGCCCCTTGATTTAAATTTTGTTAATAGTCTTATTGTTTAATACTGTACTTGTTTTCTGTGTATGATATCTCACTCTTAATTAATGCGCATTTGATTGTTCTATATATTTTTCATAATTTTTATTATAAGGTTACAAAAGTGGCATGTACAAAGGAGGACAGGGTCCATCTCACCAGGAGCTGCAACGCAGAAGGCATGTGGATAAAAAAAAAACAAGCTGAATCATTCTGCAGAGAGCTTGATGATCATGTTGAAAGTGGAGAGGAATTGCATACAAGGATTCATGAGCAATATGTGAATGAAAGCTCTTCCCACCGCCATGACCCCTGCAAGAAGACCTCTACCACTTCTAAATTCACATCAGCTTCAGCAACCCAAGTAGAAAAACAGGCCACTACTACCACTTCTACATCTTCATCGGCATCCCATATAGAGAAACGGGCCAGTAATCACCGACCAACCAGAAGCAATAAATTCCAGCGTTCATTGCAAGTGGCAAAATCTTGTAAAACCTCATTTAGTGTTGTAGATACTGCAACAATTGACCGTCACCACCAAGAAGTAACACTGGTGCACACAGCTGGAAATGTATATAATGTGACGATAAGTACTACACCAAATTGTGATGGATGTAAATACTGCACTACAAGAGACATTTGCAGTCACATAATTTGGGTGCTCCTCTATGTCTGCAATGTTAATGAGAGTAGTGAGCTACTACATCAGCGCTCATTTCTGAACTCTGAACTAGAGACTATAATCAAAGAAGTATCTGGTGCTGTTTTACCAGCTTCCCGACCTGGTTCAACTTCAGGAATATCAGGTGGCATAGGCAATCAACAGTGGAGCATTAACTCAGTGAGCAGTAAAGGTAAACTGCCCCATTGCAACAAGTGTTCAAGGCAGTTTAAAAGAGAAGAAGTGTCCATCCAGGTATCTGCAAAATGGAAATCTCCACACAAAAGCACAAATGGTGAAGATCTGTATTTGGACAGGAAATTTCACTTTTGCTTGAAGTGGGCATGTGTAAACCACCAACCGCAGAACAGCAATCTCAAAACTCCTCCCAAAGAAATCACTTTAGATGATGATGTGGGTTCACACCTCACCACAGAGGATTACCAAGCTATCTTCTCAGAAAATCTTCCTGTCAAATGGCTATCCTTCAAATGACAATGAAATGTATTATGCTATACCATGTGGTTGGTTTGTGCAAAAATATCCATAAATTTTGATTGTGAAAGTGACTGAAGGAGATATTGTGAAGTGGACATACTGTGTGCATACTCTTCTCTATTCAGCCAACTTCAGTTAACCAGTTCTAGAAGTGAAATGCAAAATAATAGTTTTGAGTTTTGAAGTTTTTTGTTGTTTAAACACCAATAGTTTCACTGTGCCAAAAGCCAAATATTCTTTAGTATTCAAGTATTGAATACCCCTTCGAAATTTTAAGTATTCAAACGTATTCAAGTAGTGTGATCTACGTGACGTACGCCGATAATATTCTTCTTGAATACGGTTGCATATTTTGCGTATAAAATCAATCTTTAGTATTCGGATCAAGATATTTCACGTTGAAGTATGCGAGTGTTTGCAATAAGTAAACTTAACGTATACAAGTATCGAATACTTCTTTGAAACTTTGAGTATGCAAAGGTTTTCAGTTAGCATGATCTATTTGACGTATGCCGATGATATTCTGCCTGAAGTCGTACGGCTACTTNGCAATCCGTTTGAGTATATGGTTATGGTCACCTCTGTCATGCCTCAGCATACCTGTGATGGGGTCTACCTCTGGGTTGTACAGGTAGAGGGAAAAATCAGCACCTTCTTGTTTTAGCTCCTCTATAGTATGCCTGTAGATGTATGTGGCAACAATTGATCTCAGCTTGTCTAGCAGGGTTTCTGGGTTGTTGCGCCTAAAAGTATATGGCTGATAACCATCTGGAACAAGTTTTCCACGGACATAGGTAATGACATCAAGCAGGCTCATCGGTATGCATAACAAGTTGTAAATTTGCAGCATCAGCTCAGGTTTAATGGCTGGATGTGGTCTTCGTGATACTGGGTCACCATTGGGTAGAACTGGAAAAGCAAATAAATGATTTTAGACTTTTTTTAGAGCTAAAACCATCCAATTTTGATAAAGTGACGTCAAGCATGACAAATTTTCCTTCAGAATATGCAAATCACCCACTTCACATATTCAACAACCGCATACTAGTGAAAACGGTGGTACTGCGTGAGCCATCCAACAAATAGGGCATCCACTGACCCACAAGTTACATTTTTACACTAACTGCAGAACAAAAACTTAGAAATATCTTACAGTGATGAACAATCAGCATTTCCAGAATTGTTTTTTGGCTCATCCTTTGGACACTCTGTCGTGCACTCTAGTCTCTCCCCTTGTTCTCAGAGTGCAGTACTCCCCATCTGTAGTAGTGCCTGAGAAAACATAAAATGAAATATATAAAATACTTCATAATATTGACTGCATCAATCATAAGCACACAATTGCATCTATTCAAATTTACAAAAGCAAAAGGAAAAAGGAGTTGAAAGGACAGCATTACAGCAACAAAATTAAGAAAAATATAATGCTAATAGTACTAACCAACTACAGCTAGGCCACGCTGGGTTAGTCTTAGTTTGAGATCTCTTGTCAAATCTCGTAGGTACTGATCTTTCAGTGTTCTGCATGGGACAAATTTTACAGGTAAAGCATATGGTTTCTTGTTCCTCTTTTCATCGGATACCATGACTACTTCTACGTGGTCTGCTGCAATTCTTTTTTTCTTAAAGAGATTTCTAAGGTACAGTTCCACTTTACCATGTTGGTCTTTCATGGTTGCTCTGGTGGTTTTAAACTGCTGTGTTGGTTGTGTCGAACAACTGAGAGTCACTACAGATTCCTCGTAGATGGATTGTAGGTTTTGAGCTTCTTGCAATAGATTCTGGTATTCGACCACATTCCAGTTAGCATCCTTCAGAGCTTTTTCTGCAGTGTTCGGTGTGTTGAACTTGTGCTGGTAGACTTCAATTGCATCAGCAAACCCCTTATTTAAGAATGCAACATCCTCTTTCACTGTGGCAATCATTCCTGTAAGGTCTTTCATCAGGATCTCCTTGTTCTTTGCGTCCTTTAATTCGCCCAACTTCTCTAATCTTTTCTCATATTCGTCCCTTTGCTTTTTTAGCTCTCCATCGCCGAGATCTTCGTCTCCATTCCAAACTTTCCTCACAGATTCCATCAGGGCTGTTTTAACATCTGTTCCATCTATTTTGATCCAAAATCTACCTTTTGGGTTTGCACTCTTTAATTGGTCTAAAGCAGCAATCTACAAACATAGATTTATGTTAACATTGACATCCTACATGTATGTCACCCTAGTTGACCAATTGAAGTCTTTTTAAAAGTTCAATTTATTTTTTTAGTATTTAATACTATCAACATTGCACCACTTAATGTACTATTTCAATTTGTACTTTTCAAAAAAGACTGGAACATTCCAGATCTGAGCCAATCGGAAAATGATGCTCATATTTACAAGGCAATTATTATTAGCTAGAATCTTTTTTTAAAAGTACAGACTGAAATGGTACACTGTTTATAAATCAGAAAGAAAATTTATTAATAAGATTAATTAATATTTGCTTGATAAATGAACAGCATTGCAGATTAACCTTGTAAGTGTACATTAACAGAATTAATGATTTGTGTAATTGTCACCTGGACTGCAGTTGTTGAATGGAATGGAGATTTCTTATCAATTCTGTGTTGAGTAGACTTGCTAGTGCAGGGAATGTTCGTCCGAGCCTTAAATAAAGGGTGAAAAGAAGATGTCAAGAGTTGTGAGCATATATGAAACACCTTTTTGCATTGAGTTTTTGTTTCAATCCTTCAAAAGATAATAGTGGGTATTACTATACATTTCATAATAAATCATTTCCAACAGGCTAAAAAGTGTTTTTGATTAAACGTTTTGATTGGTAATTACAAATGTATGGTATGATATATATAGAATAAAATATTGTTAAGGTCTTATTAAATGCATACATGTAGCTGTTCAGATTACCTTAAGAGGATCTCTAACATCTGATTTGTTTAGGCCACTCCACATTGGCCCAGCAAACAGCTTTTGGAAACGTCCAGGGAACTCTGTTGCCATAGTCTCATGCCACAACTTGTAGTCATTTGGTTCTTTAATCTAGAATAAGTATGTGATTGACTTTAATTACAATTTAATTTGAAAGTAGAATGCAGTAGACCTGTAGCGCTCTTAAAATTGCATCATTGAGCATTGTTACTGAGAATATTACTACTGAAGTGAGTGCTGTAATACATTGTTATTACTATTATAGTAATGCTTTATTCTAACCTGCATCACATTGGTACATGTAAAGAACTCGATGCAGTACTCTATCATACCAAACGGCATCCTGTTCAAAGGCATTAAGGGACTCCTTCTATCAGGTCTGTCTGTCGCAATTGCTTGGCTGTACTTATAGATAAGATTATTCTTCTTTTCCTCCTGCAGCCGTTTCATAGCCTTGATGGAAAGGCTAGCAAAGTTCCCTGGGTTGCTGTCAATCCCATCAGTTGATGCAACTTTCAGAAATAGCTCATCAACAACTGCTTTTCCTGCATCAGAATCTAACATTTGAAACAGTTTATAAATTAACTGTTTCAAAAAACGCTGACAGTTCTGCAGCTGGCTGATTGCTATGGACACCAGACTTTGGAGATTGTTGTTATGTAAACAGCCAAGTCCAAACAGAATCACTTTTTTGATTTGCTCTTGTGTCATTAGTTTGAACTTCTCTAGCAAGAGTTCAGAAACATCCTGCAGTTCAGCTTTAGATTGTGGACTGCAATGCTCTTCAGCTGAACCATCTAGATACTCTTCCACCCCAAGTCCCAAGTCGTTTTCTGCTTCTCCTAAAGTTTTATATTTTGGCGCCAGGTTTCTGAATACTTCTAAACGAACTGCTGTTCCTAAAGATAAGAGATTTGAATAAATTAACTTTTCAGCCTGATATAATAAATGGAATGAAAATCCCTGATCTTTTTAAAGCCCTGTTTTACATAATTATACAAGCAAGTTTGAACTTTTTATGTACTATACCATTTATAACTTGAAATACATTTCAGTATTAAGCAGTTTTATCAAAATGCTGTTATAGAGCAGTCTTCAAATGCTTTGAGAGGAAAATTGCAAAGTCTGTACCATAACTTCATGCAATGAATTGCTTGTGTAAAAATTAATAGTAAATAATTGACTGAACTACAGTATATCAGTGCAGTGCAGTTAGTGTTTACCATACATGTGAACACTGCTATAATATATAAGTGTCATTAATGACAAACAAAAATACCTGATCTTAACTCAGTCTTTGCAGACTCATGTATGTATTGAGACGCTTTTTGCCAGTATGTGTACGCTGATCCAAATGAGGGCCACACCTTTTCATTCGGAATTTCATCATGAAATAATGCAATAAACTGTACAAGGCTTTGCTTTTCCTTCAACGTCCATGGACGCAACTTTGATCTCCATTTTTTGGGTGAGTAGCTCAACTGCCTTGGTGAGTGGATTTTCTTTAAAATTCTTTTTGCTGCCTGCATAATATGGAAATCACAGTGAGGACATTGGAACCATGAACAGCTTTGTGTGTTTATTTTCTGAGCTTTCTATTGCTTACAGACCTTCTATAAAAGTGATGATTTTTCTTATAGCATTCTGTTAAGCCGTAATTACACATATCAGCATGTAAACAATAAATAAAGTCTTGAATTAAACAGGTAGGTTTTATGTCAAAACAATACAAAATAATCCATATTTCGCTTTTTTGATTCCCGTACACATAGCAATAACAGATTACAAGGACATTTCATACCTTCTGTGAAGGGCTTGGCTGAGAAAAGGAAAGAGATCTTGCGGCAGAGCTATTTCTTTCTGGACTGAAAGGCAATTTTTTGGGCTTGTTTGGCGTTTCGTCCTCAGAAATATGAATTCTTTTCGCCATTTACCTCTGAGGAAACCAAGAAAATGATTTAGAAATACAGACAGAATTATAAACCAAAGATAGATTGGTCTAAAATCGTCCAACGATACGACTGTAGGCATTCTTGTCGACCCAAAAAGTACAAATTTGCACTGTATTTTGACTGCGACTTCTGATCTTTCAAGCCGAGGTACAATGAGGTACACAGACATAATACAACATACTCGACATAGTCCAGTCATCCTGTGATTTAAGGTCAAACAAATTGTAAAAGAATTTTTCTCACTGCTTAACAATAGATAGAGGTTAGCTAAGTAACATACTAAAAATTCGCAAAAATTCCTGTGGTGGAACATAGTCAAACTGGGCATAATTTAAATCGACATTTACCACAGGGTTCCCACAACGGGAAAATTTTAGTTACGTTTTAAACTAATTTCTTTTCCTGTCAAGTAATAGATAGGGGTTGTTTGAGTTACATATGAAATATTTGGAAACATGTCCGCCGTAGAGCATGGTCAAATGTCGAATAACGAATTTACCACAGGGTACCCACAACTTAAAAAAAAAACACTTTTAAGTGACTAGTGTGCTAAAGTTAAGTTACTACAGAAGTAAAAATATATAAATATATTTTATGCACTTTGCTTCCCAATCAAATAGGCCACAAAATAACGAGAATAAGTTAAAAAATGTACAGACTCTTCTTATAATTAACAGACGTTTAAGAACCTACATATACATCATAAGCGTTATAATCAATCTCATGTCGAGGAAAATTATGGCTTCATTTGACCTCTCATTCATCTCCTTCACTGAAATCTAGTTGTGAGGAATTACAACAGCTTTGTCCTCTACAGTAAGCACACGCAGCGGAACATTCGAGCCCTTGTTTTCTGCATGAACATGCAGTCTGTCTTGCATCCACACCTTACCATCTCGAGCAAAGACGCATGAGCTGCTGGAAGGCTTGTTCTCACAGGTAACAATCTGTCATCTTCTAGCTTCCAACCCCAGTTTTCAGCAGGAAGCGCCACCCCTTTCCATCCCTGAACTTGATGATATACCCTCAGGCTGTGATAACTGGCGGCTGCTGATGTCKGTGGGAGGCATTCAGGTTGCACAAAAGAGTTGCCTGTAGAGATCTTTTGACAAAATTTCGCATAACGCAGTGAATCCAAAGTATCATCGGCCTGACCTTTGTACAGGAGAGCAAGAGATTTTTCGCCAGCTGCGATAGTTTCATCTTTTGAAGCATCTGCTTTATCGAAGATCTCTGCTTGATTACCGAAGCGGTCGTCACTTGNCTACCTCAGCGTCAAGCCTATCGCGCGACAAGTCATTACGGTAGGTTAGGGTTACGCCCATTCCTGCTACTGAAGGACGAGAATTGAGAGGTTTCAGCTGAAAAGGGGTCTTATTCATAAATCTTTTGCTTTGGACTGCATATAAAACTGTTGCGTCATCAAAGGGGTCTTAGTCTTTAAGACCCTTTTTAAGTTGCAACCCCTCATATATATATATAATAGTGGAGCTCCCGCCATAGGCTACCCAACTATTGCTTGAGAGAAAGAAAAGAACGAATGCGCACACGAATGCTAATGAGTAATGTACATACTCGCGCATGACCGCGTGAAGAAATGGCGGCTTATTTGAACGCTCTCTAAATTTGATCTCTAGTTTTGCCCTTAYTTWKTATCYTTGTGTTCTTGTATCTCAACGTTGTCATGTCTGTGTCTGTGGAGGAACTTAAAGCAATTTTAGACTCTAAATTGAGTCCACTTCACAATGAAATCTCTCAACTGAAAGAAAGCTTACGAGAGACAACTCAATTTCTGGAAATGGCGAACGCGAAGTATGAAGAAGTCTCAAAAAAACTCGAGGCATTTGAAAGCCAAAAGTCCCATCTCGTTGCTGRGAATACAACATTAAAGAAAACTATTCAAGTAATGGAATCCAAGATTCAGCAGCTCCAGAAGGAATMGAATGAYGTTARGCAATATACTAGACGAGATTGCCTGGAGATCCAAGGTATCCCTTTTGCTAAGAACGAGAGCACAAACGCAATAGTAAAGCAAGTTGGTGATCTGATGGATCATTAACGACGAAGATATCTCGATCAGCCACCGCATGCCTTCTGCTAAAAGCTATAAAGGTAAAAGATCAGATTGTTCATGTGCGGTCATGGCGGGTGTACGTATATCTAGTTTCTCTGCAAATTTGTGCTTAGTTCTGTGTATATATCTATCCTTGGACGCAGTTACAACTACATATCGCTTGAATAATACTTTAGTAGTCGACAGGGATTTGTACTTTGTGTCGCAGCTCAATGAAAAGGTACATATTCCAAGCTTTACTTCTCTTCGAGTTCAGCAGCCCAAAACGAATATCTACAATCTTCCAAGAAGACGCTTATTTATTAATCTTCTMCATAATGTCTCATTTGCGTTATTGCTTCTAGCCGGGGACATCGAACTGAACCCTGGCTTTCAGACCCTCAAGGATATCAAAAATATCAGAGGGTTAAAAATTGGTCATCTAAACATACGAAGCCTTCGTAACAATGTGGATTCTCCTTGTATTGAAAACCTCGACACAACTTTTGACGTGTTAGCTATATCTGAAACTTGGCTGGATTCTACAATAGTAGATGTTGAAATATCTCTGCCTGATTTCACTTGCGTTAGGCGGGATCGAACTGGAGACAAGTCTGGTGGCGGAGTTGCTGTCTACATCAAGGAAAGTTTGCCTTATCGAATAAGAGATGATTTGAAGAGAACCGATTATGAATATGTTTGGAATGAGTTGTTGCGAAACAAGTGCAAGCCCACTCTGATCTGCTGCGCCTACAGAGCCCCCGATGTGAATGCTAAAGATTTTATTTCTTCATTAAGTAATTCCATGTCGTCCATCGATCTAGACAAATCTGATGTAGTCTTGTTGGGAGATTTAAATGTGAATTTGCTTAAAAATTCGAAGGGATGCAAGAAGGATAAACAAGAACTTCTTAAATTCTCACGGACATACGACTTSAAACAACTTATAAAAGAACCTACTAGAATCACTGACACCTCTCGATCACCAATCGATTTGATTTTTGTGAACAATGAACATCGTATCACCAAGTCTGGCATTGTTCCTCTTACAATAAGTGACCATTCTTTAATTTTCTGCATAATTAAAGCTGGTGTTTTGAAGGCTAATCCTAGAACATTTGAATATAGATCTTACAAAAACTTTGATGCGAATAAATTCAAGRAAGATCTTAGTGACGTTCCCTGGCATATTGTTAATAATGAAAATGATATCAATGATGCGGTGTCTACTTGGAATASTTTATTTTCCGACATTGCAAATGAGCATGCACCGATTAAAAGACAGAGACGTAGAGGAGTACCGCTTCCTTGGATGAGCAGTAAAATCAGCGAAGAAATGAAAGACAGGGATCGTCTTCATCGAAAATTTTTGAAAACAAACTATGTTGGTCACTGGAATGCCTATAAGAAAAAGAAAAATGTTGTCAATCGTATGGTAAAAACTGCTAAGTCTAAATACTACTGTGACTTGATCGAAGATGCCGGTGGAGATTCAAAACGTATCTGGAAAGCAGTTAATGAAGCCTGTAGTCGAAAACCTAATTCTAATTCTCAGTCTATACAATGCATTGTTGCTGACGGCGTTCACTATCTTACACCTAAATCTATTGCAACTACGATGAATAAATATTTCTCGAGCATTGGAAAAGTGCTGGCWGACAAAATAACATCCTVCACAAGTCCCTATCAGTATTTCAACCGTAATTGTAACGAGGGAACTCTTTTTCAACTAAAGGAGCTTGATGAGTCTTCTGTGCTTCAACAATTGCTTGATCTGAAACCTAACAAAGCTATGTAATAGATCAAAGACGAGGGCGAGTGTTTCATCAGGGGATCCAAATACCGAGGAACTGATGGATTCCCCTGATGAAACACGAAGCACGAGTTTTTGATCTGGCTTCTTAATAATGCATGACTCATTAGCAATAAGAGGTATGTTTAGAAAACGAAGGAATTTACATGATTTAATTCAATTCATTGTGAAAKTTTCGTATATAAGACTGGCTTTAGCTGAACGAATTGAGTCAGTAAACCATGGCTAAAGCTTCTAACGCGTGTAGATTTCGAACTCCCAAAGACGAAGAAGAAGAGTCGGCTTTGCTGGTGGAGTCGACACCAAAATCAACTTTGTACAAGACCAAATGGTCTGTTGAGCTTTTTAAAACGTGGCAGATATCCCGTAAAATCAAGTATCCTTCATTTGAAGTCGCAAACGCGTTTAAAGAGTGCAGACTCAGCGATGTGAAGGACGTAACGGAAGATCATTGAAGGAAATGTCCGCGGTTTCTCTTAACTACTGGCTGTCTAAATTTATACAGGAAGTTGCCAACAAGAATGGAGGCCGATATCCTCCTCGCACGTTGTATCAGATTGTGTGTGGAATTAAACGTTATTTAGAACAGGAGAATGGTGGTGCTGCCCTAAACCCTTTGGATAACAGCGATAAGAGGTAATTATTTTATTTTTTCATAATATTTTGTGTACTTTTAAGAATTGCTGCAAGTTTATAAATAAAAGTAGTATAATCATTTTTTAATATGTTTTTTTGTTGTAGGTTTTRTATTTTCAGACGAATTCTAGACGCTGAGATGAAAGACGCAACTCGTGAAGGAGTCCATATTGCCACTAAGAAGCCAGAGAAAGAAGCTGTGACTGATGAAGAGGAAAAGCTTTTCTGGGAGAAAGACCTTCTAGGCAAGAAAACAGCAGCAACTCTGCTACATACAATCTATTTCTACAATGGGAAGCTATTTGGATTGAGAGGGGCCGAGCACAGAAGTCTAACAGTGCAAAATTTTGAATTAGGCCCTAATTTCATCAAATTTGAGGAGAATACATCCAAAACTTTCCACGGGGGGCTCAAAGATCTCAAATACACTCCCAAGATTGTAAAGCATATTTGCCATAAAGTTGACGAAGAACACGATCCATGCCTCGTAGAGCTATACCGTCTTTACATTGGCCTTGTACAATTCAAAAGTAAAAGTTCTAGTGCATTCTACTTCAGACCTAGCTCAACTAAGTTTCTTTATGAGAAACGTCCAGTGGGTATCCATACTTTAGACAAAATTCTGCCTTTGATGTGCAAAGAAGCAGGAATAAAGCCTAAAACCTCCCATAGCCTTCGTGTTTCATGTGCATCTAAGCTATTCAATGCAGGTATTACATCATATATACATATTGATATTATTTATATATACACGCTAAATTGTGCTCGGTAAGTAATATTAATTTATGACGTTTTCTTGATTAACAGGCATTCCCGAAAAGATGATCCGCGAAAGGACAGGGCACAGGTCAAATGCACTATTCATGTACGAGAAAGCAAGATACTGGTTGGTAATGCTTTACAGTACCTTGTACTTTCTCAGGCCATCCTTGAGAGCAATATTGGAACAACAGCTGACATGYTTCATCTTCGTTTTGGTGACGAACGATTCTTTCCAGCTGTAGGTTTGAAACTGGTAGATCTTTGATCACTTGGTCTACAAATGCTTGACTTGTTAGATGCAGCTCGTTCTCCTCCTTTCCTTCTGGAGCTCTGGATAGAGCATCAGCAGAGATGTGTTCTTTTCCTAGGACGTACACTATGTTGAAGCTAAATCTCATCAGACGCATGCGGAATCTTTGAACACGTGGTGGTAGGAGATCCAAATCTTTGTTGCCTAGCAACGGGATGAGAGGTTTGTGATCTGTCTCGATCTTGAATGTCATGCCTATCAGAAGATCACTGAATCTTTCGCAAGCCCAGGTGACTGCGACGATCTGAGGGTACCGCTTCTCTGCTTCAGACATGGATCTTGAGTTGTATGCTACGGGTCGCCACTCACCATTTTCCTGTAGCTGTGCTAACAACGGCACCAAGGCCATAAGAGGATGCGTCTGCGCTGACCACTGTGTCTGCTGTAGGATCATAATGTGCCAGGATCTTGTTGGGATCACTGAGCTCTTTTTTCAGTTTCTGAAATGCTTGTTGCTGTGAGGGTCCATGGTTTGTCATACCGAGGAATCTCCTTAACTGTCGGCTCTGCCATATCCACGATTGCTTTCACTTTATTAGGGTCTGGACGTACACCATTAGCATCAATGACTTGTCCTAGGAAGGTTATCTGTGACTGTGAGAACTTACACTTCTCTTCATTAAGTGTAAGACCAGCGGCTCTAATAGTGCTGTACTCAGTCTCTCGTCATGCTCCTGTTGTGTTCTACCATAGATCAAAGTATCATCTATGAGACACAAAGTTCCTGGAAGACCACTAAGTATTTCTGACATTCGTCTTTGGAAGTGTTCAGGGGCTGAAGTAATGCCAAAGGGTAGTCCAACTTGCATCCAACTTGCTGAATATTTTAGCTCCGCTTACTTGGGCTAGTATCTGTTCCACTGAAGGCAGGATATATCTTTCTTTGCGTACTGATTCATTGAGTTTAGTGAGATGCACACAGATTCTGACTTTTTCGTTTTTCTTTGGAACCACCACTATTTGCGCGCACCATTCTGTTGGCTTGTCGACTTTCGAAATAACTCCTTCACTTTCTAGCCTCCTTTTTAACTCTAGGTAACAATGGAAGATGAATTCTACTGGGAGTGTGCACTGCATAAGGTTGCGCTGTATCCTTTAGTTGGATGTGGTATTCGCCAGATAATTTTCCCAGTCCATGGAACAAGTCTGAGTATCTTTCAAAAGTTGTAGCGTGTGGTGAATTCACATTTTCTACTTTGGTTAGAATTTTCAAAGCTTGAATGGCGGGTCGTCCAAGTAGTGCAGTCTTTAAACCACTGACAACGTAGACCTTCTGTTTCGTTGAATTGTCTGGACTTGCTGTGATCTCAGCTTCCACCATTCCAAGTACTTGCAGATTATATTGTCCTGGACCTGTCAGTTTGGTATCTGTTTTCTTTAGTTGCTTGCCGGTCTTCTCATACACACTTTTTGGGACTACAGTAACATCGRCTTCGGTGTCTAACTTGAATGTGGTGAGAACATTCTCTAGCTTTAACTGCACTTTCCAGTCCATGTCTTCATTTAGCTCGTCTATTGCTATGGAACCAAGTAATTCATCTTCAGACTCTTCATCTTGGAGGCCAACTACGATTCGATCTCTGATCATCTCCTCTCTGAGGGCTCCATAGGCGCAATGCTCAGCTAAGCTGTATAGACTTGTAAAAAAGGTTTCCACAGATTCGCCAGGTTGTTGGGACCTTTGATTAAACTTTGATCGCTCGAAGATTAAATTCCTCTTCTTTACGAAATGAGCTTCGAATTTTTCGATTATTGGGTTGTATTTCTCCTCTTCTTCCTCTGTCAGTGTTAAGGTACGAATGATATCTTCCGCTCTCCCATGGAGTATATCAGCGTGTTTATTTGGCTCGGTTCGTCTTTCTTTGAAAGGCCAGAAGCCACGCGAAATCGCTCGAATCTGGCCACTCATCGGGCTTAGAAAAGTCGAAATTTTCCGGTGGGGCTATTTCGAAGGCTGCCATTGTAGTGTTATCATATATTGTAATCGTATAGTTTGGATTACCTGTGTATGTTTATATATATAGTTCGGGTTACCTGTGTCTTGTAACATATCTAACATGGCGGTTTAGTAAATCACACGAGACAACAATCCGTCTAAATCTTTCTCTAAATCATCCATCGTAACACAACATGGTGTCAGAAGTGACTGTCCCTCAGGGGCAACAGTGATCGTCCATTAAGGAATAAAAAAAAAAANAAAGACAGTCCTGTCCTGCACGAAATGCCACATGCAATAACTGTGGAAAGAAAGGTCACTTTAAAGCTGTTTGTCAATCACGAAATGTGCATGAAGTTCAACAGGACAGTGACGAAGAAACACCACAGGAAAATGCATTTCTTGGCTCAGTTCACCACCAATCATCTAATTTGACTAGTTCGTCATCCTCAGAAGGTAAGCCCAAGCCATCAAGTAATAAGAAATGCTTCTTTTGTGGTAAAGACATGCACAAAAGACAGTCCTATCCTGCACGAAATGCCACATGCAATAACTGTGGAAAGCTGTTTGTCAATCACGAAATGTGCATGAAGTTCAACAGGACAGTGACGAAGAAACACCACAGGAAAATGCATTTCTTGGCTCAGTTCACCACCAATCATCTAATTTGACTAGTTCAAAAGACTGGACTGTTGATGCATGTATAGACAATAACATTGTCAACTTTAAGATAGACACTGGTGCGGATGTCAACATTATCTCAGATAAGATTTATACAAGTAAATTCAGTCACAAGCCTCTATTGCCACCTAGCAAAGTAATCAAGGGCCCAGATYAGAAACCTYTGCCCATACTCGKCTACATAAAGTGCTCTATCWCTAAAGGGGACAAAKCCAGTCATGCTGATGTTTAMGTTTTGAAAGGGGGGACACCTTTACTGGGACGTGAAAGCAGTGTTACCCTAAACATTGTCAGTCTAGTAAACAACATTGAAATCTATCCTCATTTATTCAAGGGACTAGGTGAAATGCCTATTCCATATAAGATTGAATTGAAACCCGATGCTAAACCCTTTGCCATTCAGTATACTTACCCAGAAGCAATCAGATGGACGCTGGAGCCCAGTCGTGTACGCATCACGATCTCTAACTCCTGCAGAAAGGCGCTACGCGAAAATTGAAAAGGAAGCCCTTGCCGCAATGTGGTCATGCTCAAGATTTCAAGACTACCTCATCGGAATATCGTTCACATTAGAAACAGACCACAAACCGCTGGTCCCACTACTCGGCACAAAGAAGTCATTAACTATGTCCAAGAAAGCTGGCCAGACAAAGATCAACTCAACGGTATCACACGACATTATTGGCCATTCAGAGCAAGTTTAACAATAATTGATGGTTTACTCATGTACGACTCAAGAATTGTAATTCCCTCTTCACTTCGTCAAGACATACTAGGAAAACTTCATGAAGGTCATCAGGGGATCGCAAAATGTCGACGACTTGCCATTCAGTCAGTATGGTGGCCAGGACTAAGCAAGAACATCAAAGAGTTGATAGAAAACTGCAGAGTGTGTTGCCAAGCAAAAAGATCACACCCTGAACCACTGAATCCCACCGTCATGCCACAACGACCTTGGCAAAAGCTTGCTGCAGATCTCATGGAGATCAAGAAATCACAATACTTAGTAGTAATTGACTACTACTCGCGTTACATAGAACTTGCAAAACTTGAAAACTCAACTACAAGCAAGGAAGTGATAAACCACCTTAAGTCAATCATGGCAAGGCATGGAATCCCTGAAACAATGCTAACGGACAATGGTCCACAATTTTCCTCTAAAGAATTTTCGTTATTTGCTAATGAATATGGATTCAGCCATGTAACAAGCAGTCCTCTACACTCATCAGGAAA